GAAGAAATATGGAGTCAAAAAGAAGCGCGCTACGTCCGTCCATATTCCCAAGTCTGGCGCCGTCCGGGGTCAGGCCAAACTCCCAAATCATCCCAAATCCAAGTTTTCGGATCAGTGGACAATTCCCGCTCGGTGGGCGTGGCCAAGGGCAGGTACATGGGAAGCAAGCTGGGGAAAATCACAAAAGTGCCAATCCAATGACGTTATCGATGCGTGTCGGCATAGCTAGCATCACCAAAGATGCATAAACCACTGAAACATGGCACCACTGCTTGCGCGATACGTTTTTGCGGTGTTTCCTAGCTAGAGGTAGGAAATTCTAAAGAAGCCTTGCTCTTCCTCTTTCACCGTGGGTGAAGCAGGCACACCTTCAAACTTTACAGTTACTCCGAAACATCCACCGGAATGCAAGGAACAAAAACCAGATCCTCATGAAGCAGAGCAGCATCGCCAAGAGGCGCTTAAATTTCAGACACCAACCCTGACACTCGCCCAAACACGACATGTTTCCCCGCTAGGCGTGGCATATCTGTACAGGCACTGCATGGCACTGCCGTCCTGCTAAGGATTGCTGCGATGCTACAGCCCTCTGTACAAGGTCAGGGCCAGGAGCTGTACAAGGTGAGGGCCAAGAGGCGACCAAGATCAGCCTAAACCCTTGGCCATACACTGTGATGTCCGCGCAGCCAAACGTAGGGTGCTCGCGACTTTTGCATTGCCTTGTTAAAGGAAAAACCAAAGCACACCTGCAGGAACTTCCCGTACAAGTCTTGCAAAGGTCTTTTTACAATTAGCTACATCCACGTGCACGTGTCACGAACAGAGTCGAAGAGGAGTTGAGATGTTAAGGCACGCACAAAAAATGCATGTCAGCAATGCATCCAAATCACAGTCCGAGAGGCCAATGACTAAACCCTTGTACCATGCATGCTGACAACTATACTATCCTCATCGTAACCTTCAACTGCAAAGCTTGTAGCACCCTGCGCCGACGCTGCCCTCACAAGGCGGCAACCAGGGACTCCAAATCCTCTCAGCATGGTGATCCGCAAGGAAGACAGAGGCCGACGAAGTCTAACGCTCAAGATGTAGGGTTTGGGCTGTAAGCGGGGTACGGCTTCCAAGGGCCCTCCTGACAGTTTTGGATTGCAAGCTGTCATGTTCTGCGTCATTGGGCCCCACTGGGCTCCGCAAGGCCATATGAACGGCACGATATTCCGAGATCCGAGTATGAACAGTGAAACTCCTTTCCAACTTATGGACCCGCACGACTTCCATCAACTGAAAACCCAATGGCATGGTCCTTGACCATGAACTGGTAGCGCTTTGAAAGTTGCGGCTTCAGCTCGCAAAGCCGCGAAACTTCCTTGGTCAGGATTTGTTGACATGATCCTGTCTTGCTATCACCAACTTTTTATGGAGATGGAAGTAGCAATACTCGTCATTGCCGGAGTCTTTGTCGTTGTTGTTATCGTTGTTGGTATTGTTCTTGTTCTTGTTCTTCTTGTTCTTGTTGTTGTTGTTGTTGTTGTTGTTGTTGTGGTCCTCTTCGTTGTAGTCGTGGTCGTCGTCGCTGCCACCGCCGTCGTCGTCATTGCCGCCGTCGTGGCAGGACAGTAAATACTTCTACTCCTCCAACATGATGAGTGCGTTGAAATTTGATCCATCCTCGCAGCGGTATCCGACCTGCACCCTCACGCCCACCTTGATGGATTATTCAAAAATTTTCAAAAAATATACACATGTATATATTCATTTATATATACACCCATTCAGAAGGGCTAGAATCAGCTCCCACCAGTCACCTTCACTTTTGGATATAACAAAAACCAATCAGGGAAATTTTCCTTACTTGAATCACCAAACTCTCAGGATAGTCACGGGACTTTCTTGGCGTACCACCCAAATCTGCACGAATTCATAAGGAAACCCTCGATCAAGCATGTGGTCTGCGGTGTTGGTTACGTACATTTGCCTACGTGTATGCTTTACGATGCCTACATGAATCTTACGTAGGATGGGCGTAGGCCTCTGGATTTCAGGGCAACACTTGGGCTGATGGTTGAGGTGTCCTAGTTCACTGACCGCCCGCCGCAAGCCTACAGTACAGATAGGCTTGCAGGCTGAAAACGTGCTCAAAAGAATACATAGATCATCAACAACAAGCTGTTAAGGGGATATGGGCTATAAATTCATTCCAACGCCGGCGCAGTCCTATCTTCATTTGGAAGGTTTGTGCAGCTCATGCCTGTCCAGGAATCAGGCATGCAGCCAACAACACCCCTCTTCCCAATTCTGATACTGCATCTCAAAACCAAAACATGGTCCCCCCAGGCCATCACCTGGATATCATTGCCACACCTAAGCCCCTCATACCAGTACCATGCTACACATCGGCTCCTGAAGTCCTCCTTCATCCCATCCCCACAATCCTCCGGGAAACCCCCCTTATCAACTTCTGCATATCCCCAGTTTCCCTGGCCAGCAGCGCCGCCCCACTCTCAGTGGCCTTTTGGGGCACAAAGGGGTTGCTTGCAGCACCACAGCTCCAGAGGAGGTTGCAGGATTCCCAGTTTAGGGCTTCAGGCTTTAAGGTCAAGCATTTAGGGTTTAGGATCTGGGTTTGAAGGTTTAGGGTCCGGCATGTGGGACTTCAAAATACCTCAAGGAAGGCAAGACTCTTTATTAGCACTGCACGTGGCTCATGAACTCATGAATACCAGCTATGGAGGAAAACCCCATGATGCCATGATTTCAGGAAGCTTAAAGTTTGTATGCCGTCTACTGGTGATGACAGTAACACCGTTTCAATACTTTTCATAGTTCTAGAGGAATACCAGAGTTAACCTGGAGAATCAAAAGCCCTTTGGCAGGCGCAAACGGCGCAAACTACTTTATTGCAGAGCTGAAGCTATAAATGGTACAGGGGCCGCGGCTTTGGATATTCGAATGCTGATGCATTTAGTTCAGCCATTGAACCAGAAAGAAAGTTTAAGCGCTAACCTTTGCCCTCAGTCCAAAGCCGCGGTCTCTCCAACTCAAAAAATGAGAGGTGATAGTATTGGCGCAAAGCGAGTCTGGCGGACGTCTCCCGCAAATGTGAGATGGCAGCTGTAACGACCCATTGGTCCCCCTACAACGCAAGAACCCCCAGACTGTGACGGACAACAACTTCGATTTCAAGCACAAATACATTCCTGTTAGTTCTTCTTTCGGATCCAGCCTTACTAATCCTTGAAAGCAACAAACCAAGAGTCCAGTAATGGGCTTCGAACATCAAAACGGAAGATGGAAATGTTCATCTGAATCTTGGCCGCAGCACAAAAAACAGGAAGGGGGCAGGATCAGGACACAAAAGATCAGACAGGCAGTTGCTCGGATCAGTAAGCTCTGTGTCCGATCTGTGATCCTCCATCCGGACCGTCCTGACCAACCCGAGCCTCCCGACTATCCCCAACATCCCAAGCCCCCTAGCGAAACCTCATCAACAATTGCCACGTTTTTCAATGCATTGCAAATGGAGGGGGCGTGCCAAACCCTATCCACCCACTCTTGGCGAAGATGGACGCATATCATTGTGAATCCGTATCAACAACTGCCACATTCCTCATTGATTTGCAAATCGGCGGGGGAGGCTGCGCCCCGCCCAACCCCCCCCCCGCCTTTTTTTAACATGAGCCTGTGTCTATCTTCATCAACAACTGCCACATTTCTGAATGCTTCAACCCACAACCCTAAACCCCCAGCCCCCCCCCCCCACTTGCTTCTGCAACATGAACCTGCAACATGTCAAATCATGAGGCATCAAAATCGACTCCCACAAAGCAAACGCACTCCTAACGCTAACATTAACACCTATCATGTCTAATGCTGAGTCCTCCTCAACAATTGCCACATTCCTCAATG